TGGTCCTGTACTAATTCATGTTGTCACTAAAAAAGGTTTTGGATATCCTTATGCAGAAAGAGCAGCAGATAAGTACCATGGTAAAGAAAAAAAAGTTTCTCTATAGAAAGCATGATTAATGTGTATGATATGTATCTTAGTTACATGGTTTAATTTGCAGGAGTTGCCAAGTTTGATCTTGCTAGTGGAAAACAGCTCAAGGGCAAGGCTCTTACCCCGGTACTCACATCATGCTTTGCGGATGCTTTGATTGCAGAAGCAGAAGTTGACAAAGACATTGTTGGAATTCACGCTGCAATGGGAGGCGGAACTGGAATGAATCACTTCCTTCGCCGTTTCCCTACAAGATGCTTCGATGTAGGGATAGCAGAACAGCATGCTGTTACATTTGCTGCAGGTCTAGCTTGCGAAGGTTTTAAGCCTTTTTGCACTATTTACTCATCCTTCTTGCAGAGAGCTTATGACCAGGTAGAAAGTAACACATATATTAAAGCGCATTGCATTTTAAATATGACTATAATAGCATTAATATACACCGGCTCTCACTTAGCATATTGAATAACATTAACTTTTGCAAATGATGTTTTGAGTATATATATCGTGTCTGTTCAAAGGTGGTGCATGATGTGGACTTGCAAAAGCTGCCGGTAAGATTTGTGATCGACAAAGCTGGATTCGTTGGAGAAGATGGTCCAACACACTGTGGTGCTTTTGATGTCACCTATATGGCATGTCTCCCTAACATGGTGGTGATGGCTCCTTCCGACGAAGCAGAGATGATCCACATGGTGGCTACTGCTGTTGCCATTAACGATCGACCTAGTTGTTTCCGATTTCCAAGGGCAAATGGAATTGGTGTTGAACTACCACCAGGGAATAGAGGCACCCCTCTTGAGGTGAGTTAGAATTTTGACCATATTTATGAAGATGACTCGAAAGAGTTGTTAGCAACATGTTCTCTAACGCATCATTTTCAACATGGATAATTTATCTATTATCAAAAGTAATTGCAGACGGTGTAGTGTTGTCATTATTTTAAGAAACAGTTTTTGCAAAAGGGTTTAACATTTATAATTTGGCATTTTATACAACAGATTGGGAAAGGTAGGATATTGATTGAAGGGGAAAGAGTGGCCCTTTTGGGGTTTGGAACAGCAGTACAGAACTGTGTAGCTGCAGCTTCCATATTGGAACAACATGGCTTGCATGTAACGGTAGCGGATGCACGTTTCTGCAAGCCGTTGGACCATTCCCTCATTCGCAGCCTAGCCAAATCACACGATGTTTTGATCACAGTGGAAGAAGGATCAGTAGGAGGATTTGGATCTCATGTTGCTCATTTCATGGCCCTTGATGGTCTTCTTGATGGAAAATTGAAGGTGTGAATCCTTAGTGTTTATCTAACTTGACCTTAATATTGAGCAAGTTGCTGAAAATTGAAATGTGTTTGAGATGATGCAGTGGAGGCCAATGGTTATTCCTGATGTTTATATTAACCATGGTTCACCTGCTGAGCAACTGGCTGTAGCTGGTCTCACATCATCTCACATAGCAGCAACTGTATTCAACATTCTTGGACAAACAAGACAGGCACTAGAGATGGATACTGTGACATGATATAATCGAACAAGAATCTCAATTTTTTGTGTTGATGCACTGCACTTAAGCCTTGTGTTCAGTTGTCTATAGCGAAATTTATTAGCTTGTAACTAAAATGATTTCATGACTCGAGAAATAAGTGTTATCCGTTGTAAAATGACTACTAAAGACATGTACACTTTAAAAAGTTGGATTTTAATTGAAAGAGTAGAACAAAAAAATAGTTCTAACAAGTTTTTATCAATCAACGTACACAGAACAAAAATCTAGAATCTAAAAAAGTATCATGTACCTGTTGGAAAACAGTAAAAAAGATAAAGGCTGTCGAAGTATATTCACCACCTCTATCTGATCGAACTGCTTTAATGTGTCTGTCGGTTTCCTTCTCTACCATTACTTTGAACCTTTTGAACACCTCGAATGTTTCAGATTTTTCTTTCAAGAAATAAACCCATGTCTTCCGTGAGTAATCATCGATAAAGGAAATAAAGTATCTTTTGCTACTGAAAGATTCTGGCGTGATTGGCCCACATATGTCGGTGTGAATCAATTCAAGGATATGCTTAGCCTGATATTCTGCCTTCTTTTGAAATGAGATTCTTGTTTGTTTGCTAAATACACATTCTTCACAGAACTTTCCTTCATAATCCATATCTGGTAGTCCATGCACCATGTTCCTTTTCGCCAATCTCTTTAAGCCAGCGTGATGTAGATGACCAAAGCGTAGATGCCATAGTGACGCTTTGTCTTCGACATTTACTTGTAAACATTTTTCTCGAACGTTTATCAGATTCAGTTTGTACATTCGATTTCTCTCCATTTCGACACGAGCAATCAGATGTCCCAGCTTGTCCTTCAAATGCAGTATTCGTTCTTTCATAAGTATCGAATAACCTTTTTCTGTAAGTTGTCCCAAACTCAAGATGTTGGTTTTGAGATTTGGTACATAATAAACATCTTGAATTGATCCAATCAACCCATCTTTCTGCAAGTAACGGATCGTTCCCTTGCCTTCGACCTTCACTTTCGATGCATCTCCGAAAGACACATTTCCATCTTCAATCTTTCTCATTTCTTTGAACAAGTGTTTGTGACCACACATATGGTTACTTGCTCCTGAGTCAAGATACCAAACATTGTCATTTGTGTTGATCTCATTTTGAGCCATCAAGAGAAAACCTTCATTTGCTTCAGCTTCCAAAGTTAGATTGGTTGTTTCTTCTACCTTCTTTTCGATTCGACAGTTTTTTGCAAGATGTCCCACTTTATCACAGTTATAGCATTTGAATGAGTTGCAATCCTTCACATAATGACCATACTTGCCACACTTGTAGCATTCAAAGTTTGAATGGTTCGACCTACCACCTCTTTGACCACGTCCTCTGCCACGCCAATTTTGTTGGATCGACTGTCCTCTCTCGAAATTGCTGCCTCTACCACTTCGACCACTGTCACGTCCTCCACGACCACGTCCTCTTCCTCGAAAATTTTGAGAAAAGAGTACCTTTTCGTCTTTGATTTGCTCCTTGGTTTGATTTGCGTCCTCTACTCCTTCTTCCTTCTTTTTCATCTTTCGTTGTTCGTGTGCTTCGAGGGAACCAGCGAGGTCTTCGACTGAGAGTGTCGAAAGGTCCTTCGACTCTTCTATTGCACACACAATATTCTCAAATTTATCTGTTAAAGATCTCAAAATCTTTTCGACAACTCGTGCATCAGTTACTGTTTCGCCATTTCTGGTGAGTTGGTTCACCACCTTTTGTACACGCGTTATGTAGTCAGATACATTTTCTGACTCCTTCATCTGCATCCTCTCCAATTCTCCACGAAGAGTTTGGAGTCGAACTTGCTTTACTCGATCTGCTCCTTTGAACACTTTCTCTAGCGTGTCCCACGCTTCTTTCGACGTAGTCGAACCGGCAATCTTTTCGAATCCTGATTCATCAACAGCCCTAAACAGCATGTATAGTGTCGTTTTATCCTTCGATCGCGTCTCTTTCAACGTCTTGTTTTGAGCTGCCGTATATCCCCCAATATCTGTTGGTTCTTCAAACCCATCTTTGGTCACCTCCCACGCGTCTAGAGATCCGAGAAGTGCTTTCATTTGGATACTCCAGTTTTCGTAATTTAACTTCGTTAGTCATGGCAACGGCATTTGATTCATCATGTTTGCCATTAGCTCTGATGCCAATTTGACAGAATAAAACAAGTTCTATTGTAACTTCTGTGTTTTATTAGAATACACTCTTGGTCTTTATATAGACTCACAAGCTTTAGCTATTCTAGGAAACTTGATAATTAGAAAATACTATTAATTTGCCCACTATTACTTGACCTTCCAATTACAACAGACTCTTAAACTCTCCATTAACTCAATAGTAAAAACTCATTAACTATAACATTAAAGTTTATTCAACACCCTCTGAACAAGTTTTCTCAACCTCGTTTGAAATAAACTCAGAACCTATGTTATCATAACAGAGGCAGAATACCTTTATGCTGCTTAGCCATTAGACCTATCAATAAGCATGTACTCAATGTTTTGACAGATTCTATGATTTCACCCTCCTCAATCTGTTCTCCCATACCTCCGCGAAATATTTCCCTCCCACTTTAACTTCTCGACCACTAAAGAGGTCTACCGGTTCAGAATGTCGAAACACATCCCATCTGTAAAGAGGTCTACCGCCACCGTTGAACACCTTTTTTTTCACTTTCTGCCAACCCAAATCTTCTTTTATGAAGCTGAAAGTTTTTTGTTGGTTAGACCAGATGAATTAAAGGTTTTCTTATAATGTAATCTGTCAAATTTAATTTACTAGATTTTTAAATATTCTTTATTCAAACTTCTAACTTATTGTTCTGTATGATGTCTCCACAAAAGAATTTTAACAAAGAATAAATCTCTTTAAATGAATATCTATAGACCATGTATACTTGCACGTCATATAATTATAAAAATCCACAACAATCACTTCAATCAGTATAGGGGTGCCCAGGTTTGAAATATAATAATTTCTTCACTTGATACTTTTAATATGCAATTCATTGTGTAGAATAATGCATTTTCTCAATACAGTTTGAGATTAATGATGATGAATATTAAAATCAGCCAATGATGATGATGAATACTCAAATCAGAAACATAGAGTGACATACAAACAAAACAAAATATTCAATTTTATGTTCATCCTAATTACAAAAAAAAATATTAGACCAATCTAAAGATTATAATGAGTAAGATATAAAATTAGTAGATTGATGTTTCCTTAAACAACAAAAACAAAAATAAAGAGAAAAAAAATTGCAAGTATATTTTATTTGGGATGTAAACAAAATGACAAAACTCACACACACAAGTTCTGGAATTCTAACTCTTAAAATTAGTAATTGAGAGCTTAAACTTAATGCCATCTTGGTTGAATCCAACTTCCATTCAAGTGTTGTCTCATATGATGAAAATTCACCACCTGATCATGTTGGAATGTGTGGTAGTTGTTTGTTTGTAAAGAATAAAACACAAGACTGTGCTCATAAAATCTTGAAAAATAAATTTTGTTTTCCATTCCAGGAACGGTTGCGACTGCAGAAAATGATGTTTTACCAACAAAAATCATGTGATTTTTGAGATTTTGAAGTTTGATCCATGTCATTGTAGACTCATTCAACTTGAAAACTTGAATTCCACCCTTTGCAATAGTGCTCTCAAATACTGCCAATAAATTGCCATCACATTCAACTAGAAAGCTGTTGAAGTAACTGCTACATGGAGTTTGAGGCTCTTGAAGTTCTTTCCAACTATAATTTTCTCTTGTTACTTGTAGTACTGCTAGCTTTCCTCTTACGCTAAGAAAGTAAAATGATCCATTATGAAAAACAGGACTTACATTGCAGACAGGAAATTTGCAGTCTTCAAATGTGAAATGACCAGAAAATTTGTCTCCAAGGAGATGTACGAATGCTGTCGTAATGGGAGAAAAGAAAAATATTTTATCCAACTCAACGACAACGCATTCATTAGAGGTTGGGGAATGTGACATGCCAACACATCTGGTATTCTTGATTTCTATATCCCAAAATGGAAGTGGTATGACTTGTTTTGTAAAGGGATTGAAGAAACCTTGAAATCCTTTGCTATTTTTAAGTGCCCCCAATAATAGCCAACCATCTTTTGAGCAACAAATTTCTGAATTAAAGTTCCAACATTGACGAAAATTTATCATGTATTTGTACTTTAGGCCATGCTTTGGATTGACAAAAGTGAAGACCGCGTCCTCTGAGAACACAAGTAAAGGACATGTGAAGCGATCATCAAACCTTGACATTGAAGAAGATGATCTCCATTGAATTTGTGGTGCAGCTAGACGAAAGAATTTATTGGTAGCTCGAAAATTCAAATAATCAAGCACATTATTAATATGTTTTGCAATCACTTCAACCGCGTCTAGAGAAAGTAGAAATCCATTGTGAGCTTCATTCTCTCCATCCTTTAAATGTTCAACATCACATATACTTTGATGAAATTCTCCTATTTCTTGTTTGAATGAATCAGCCATCCTACAAAACATAATAAAATTAAAAATATTTTTGAAACAACTGTCTATATTTACAACATTCAAGACTAACTTCAAAAATGTATTAAAAAAGTTACCATGTATTTGGCATGACCCATCTTGAATAAGACAGTCTTTTTGATGATAAATTGGAGAAAGGTTGACGAGTTACAATACAATTGTCTTGAATGTTGTAAATATAGACGAAATTGGAGGTCCCTAGGGCGATGTAGATACGGCCTCCTTCAGTTTCTTGATTGATTGCTTGACAAACAAAGGATGGATCAAGACTAGATATAAAGAAGACTTTATCCTTGATGCTTTTCACCTTTTCCCACGCTCGTTGAAAACAATCAAATTTAAAAACACAAACTGCAGTAACCTTACCTAGGTCATAGAAAATTTCAATTCGAAATAATTCATTGTTGCATGCAATCAGTCGACTTATAAGTTGCTCAAAACCAGTCGGTAGCTGTTTTATCATCCTATCATGTGTGCAGTTTATTGTAAAGCCATTAGGTTGAAGGTTTTGAATAACTACCATAATATAGTCAGACAAAATCATCATTCCTGCATAGAAGGAACCATTGCAGTAAACTGGATTATCAAAATAGCTCATAGATTCATCCAAAGGAGCTTTTCTCTGCATGGCTAAAACTCTCACGATTTCGTTATAAAAACACACTTTAGTCCATTGTTTATCTCCAAGTTGGTAGTAGAATATTGAAGGGCTGTGTTTTGCAAATAAATAAAGGGAGCATGTTTGATTATTTGATGGAGGGGATGACAAAATGCAATTACCAAAATCTGCGCCATTGTGTTCAAGTGGCTGGAGAACGATTTTGTTAAGGTTATATGGATTCCAAAGAAACAAGGTACTGATAGATTTTGATATAATGTTTTCCCAAAGAAACCAACCATGTTGTACCGTTAGAAGCTTTGATCTCCTAAATTCTGGATTCCAGGTAGAATAAGATTTCGATGGATCTGATATACTGCAAAATGTTTGATTGCCTAGGGTTTTGCCGGTGAAATACATAAGCATAGGTTTTCTACCTCCTTCCATGTTTAAGAAAATAGACAACTTTAGTTTAAACAAGGAAAATCATGCACCAACAAATATATATATATATATATATATATATATATATATATATATATATATATATATATATATATATATATATATATATATATATATATATATATATATATATATAAAACAAGGAATCAAGGAATGGAGTAAACAATATTTCATTTACACTTTTTTTTAGGGTTTGTTATATAACAAGGAATCAAGGAATGGAGTAAACAATATTTCATTTACACTTTTTTTTAGGGTTTGTTATATAACAAGGAATCAAGGAATGGAGTAGACAATATTTCATTTACACTTTTTTTTAGGGTTCCTTAAATAATTATGAGGTTTGTATTTTTTTAAGAAAAGAAAGGGATTTTTTTAATATTTTCTTCAATTTTTATTTATTAGTGAAGAATATTTATAGTAACACCCAAATCATAAAATTTATTATTAAATCAATTACAAAGCAAATCAATTTTGTTTTCATACACACAATATTGTTTATATCATCATTTATAATTAAACTAAAAAAATCACTATTGATTATAAAATTAATATCAGCTAAATTGATTTTATTTTATTATTATAATATTTCATTCTTTCAATTTGATTAATTTTGTTTTCATAGATTTTGGATCTTATCTAAAGGAGAGAGCATGCCCCAATTATTAATTAATTTTATCTTTTATCTTTTAAAAATGAGTTCAACAAAATATTTTTATATTTAAAAATAAAAATAAAAATAGATATTTGAAAAAACAAAATTGGAGTAAAACATATTAAAAGTAAATAATCCCATTCAAGTTCGAGATATCTACGTGTGTGCATAAGAAATAAAAATAGAAAGTATTTATTTCTTGTGTTGAATGGAGATGCACTAAGAGTTAAATTTTTTTTTTTTACTAAATTACAGTTTTTATCTCTTTCTTATATTTTAGTTTAAAAAATATTGACGTGTCATTTTTTTAATAGTTGGAATGGATAATAAAATATATAAGATGATGTGTACAATTTTATTTATGTAATTTTTTTTCAACATCATTTAAAAATTTATTAAATTTTAAATTATTCATAAAATAATTAAAAATTAAAATTTAATAATGACAATTGTAGACGTTTTGATTGATTGCATGTGTAAAACTGTTTTACTTTAACAATGCACTACCGTTAAACTTGTTAGTACATCACCATTAAACCCTTAGAAATAAAAAGAAAATGCGGTGTAAAATACTTTATACTGACAACTAATCACAACCATGTATCAGAATAAAATATTTTTTTGATCTGACCTGATCAGAAGGGGATCACTAGCTGGCCACACTCTGTTGGGCTGCTTCCTGTTCACCGGTGATGAGGAGGAGGAGGGGGTGTACCTGCAAGGCACTCCGATGCCAAAGTGAGTATATGGGCAGAGTGATCACAAGTACAGAAAAAGGGGTAAGAAGTGAATTACCTGACCCTCTTGTGAAAGAGGGTATTTATAGAGAGACCTCAGCGCTAGGCCAACGGTCACTTGTGTTAGGCTGGATTGCCAGACCCAATTCAGGTGACTGTTAGGGCTTACGTGGCGTAGTGAAGACCAGAACGTGGTCTTCGCTCTAATTCAACTGTCCCGCGATCTCCGGGAAGTGGGTTTGACTTGCTCTTTCAGAGGTGGGCAGTTGGTTAGTGACGTGTCCCCGCGGAGGGGAGCACGTGGAGAACGTGCGCATGACGCGTTGCTCTCCCCGCGGAGGGGAGCTCGCGAGGTTCCCCGGAGGTGTGTTGTCCTCCCGACAGAGGGGAACACACGAGGGCGTGGGAGAGACACGTTGTCCTGGTCGCCGGTATGGGGATTCTGCCCGCGGAGGGCTGTTCTGCCCGACGAGGGGCAGTGATTGGCAGCGCCTTCCCGTGAAGGGGTGAGCGCAGAGGGCGTCTTGAGGCACGTTGTTCTCCTCGGCGGGAGCATGCCCTGGCCGTCGAGGGGTCACGTGCCCGGCCGTCCTACTTAAACCATGTTGGGCCTTTATTGTGTATCATTGGGTTGGGCCGCAAGGTGAGGTCAGGGCCAAGGCCAGAACAGGAGCCCCCCAAGTCGAAGCTCTTTGGTGGAAGAGCGAGGACTTGAGAATGTTGTTCCGGGGAAGAAGGTCGCGAGGCGCGAGACTACGCCGGCTCGTGTTCGACGAGGTGCGTGTGCGCGAAGGTCTCTCCACATCGTCGGGTGCACGGGGCAAAGGCATTTGAAGGGACGCGACTGTCAGCCTACTGCCGCGTGTCACACATTGAGTGGGTGTGAGGGCGGCTATCCTAGAGTACTCAAGGGCCTAGTGTCGCTTCGAGTTCCGCGCCGGGTTATAATTATGCGAGTCCCCGCGCACTTTTTACTTTTCACCTTGCCTTTTCACTTACGAAGCTCTGTAGTTCTGCCTCGTCCGCCGTTGCCGTGAATCGCCGCCGCGTCGTCCGTCTTGCATTCCGTCAACCGCCGCTTATAAAGTGAGTTTTTCTTCCTCCTTTCCTTTATTTTCGCCATTCATTTTGGGTTTGTGGTCGGGGCACGATGAGTGCCTCGAGGAGAGACGCGAGTCTCTGCCGTATCTGGTGGAGTTTTAGGGTTGTTTAGATGAATGTGCCGGGGAGGATCGACTATTCTGATGAATGCCCCGGAGACGGGTGCTTCTTCCGATGAAGCTCCCGGGGAGGGGCGATAGGTTAGTTTGAATGTCCCGTGGAGAAGTGGCGGGAACTTCTCCTCGGGGATTTTCCCGGGCGTTATGTCTTCTGTTCGCGAAACCTCCCTCGTCGCCCTTTCACTTGACCTGCGGTGGAAGGGTGGATTTGATCTTGGCTATCGAATTCACCGCTATCCTCTGCTTTTCAGGTGTTCATGTCGGCCTTGATCCCGGGGACGATGGTCGAAGACAACGAGCCCGAGGTTCCGGATTTTGACGAAAGAGTTCTCCCCATTGAGGAATGGGTGGTCGAGGAGCCTCTATCCACCCCCTCTTGTTTTGCCTTTGATACATCTGGTGCCCATACCACTGTGGAGGACCGGGTGGAGGGAGAGCCACAAAACTAGCAAGTTTACCTCCCCAAGGAACATCACTGTATCTGCTCGAGATATGGGCGGCGAACATTTCCCATGCACGAGTTTTATTTTAAAGAGGTTCGACTCAGACTGCCGTTCTCCAATTTTCATTTGGGTCTTTTCGAATGGCTGCTTCTGGCTCCGTCTCAATTGCATCCCAATGCCCTGGCCTTTATCCGCGCGTTCGAGCTGGTGTGTCTCTTTCTCCAGGTCGAAGCTACGGTGCCCTTATTTTTCCGTATTTTCCACCTGCAGCGGAAAACGGTGAATGGCCGGCATGGTTAGGTCTCGTTTAAGCAGCCGACCACACTTTTCAAGACGTACATGGACTCCGTCCGGGATTTCATAGGTCGCTTCTTCCTCGTGAGGCCGATCACAAGAGAAGGGTCGGACTCTCTTTTTACTGAGGGGGAGCGAGTGGTGGATGGCCAGCGGTTTGTCCACTGGCTTCCGAAGGTGCATTTGCTGTGGACCCCGGAGCATTTCAACCGCGGAACCGACCGATATATAGTGCGGGTTGGGACCCTCGACGAGGGGGACATGGCCGCCTATATGAAGATAGTGGCGTTTGTGCGGGGTCTGCCCCCGTCAAAACTAGTGACTCCTGATGGTCGGTATCTTTTCGACGCGCAAGGGAACGTGCAAACGAAGAAGAGGTTGATTAATACGAAAACCTTGCTCGGCTGCACCTCGGTGGCGGATGCTCTTGATTACCTAGGTGGGGACGCTTCCTTTTTCTCGTGACTCTGTATGTTTTGTTTGTTGTTGACTCTTTTTGTTTTTTGCAGCGAACATGTCTTCCGTCGAAGAGCGGGTGAAGAAGTTGCGCGCCTCGAAGGTTGTTAGGGCTACGAAGACGCGGGTGAGTTAAATAATCGAGCAGGAAGTCGTGGTCCAGGGCGGTCAGAGCTCGTCCTCGTCTCCTCAGGGAAGTCAGTCTCCCTCATCTCAGGGGACTACGAAGAGGCCAAGAATCAAGGAGGCCAACGGCCTGATTGATCTGATGACCAGGTCTGCCGAGGAGGGCTACGTTGTCCCGCCGTGCCATCAACACCCGAGTCATTTTCACGGGGCTAGGTCGCCCAATATTTCTGCTGGTAAAGTAAAGGTGGTTCTGGATGCGAACCGGGACTCTCGTCGTCGCATCTTGGCGGAGGATCTGGCCGCGATGATGCGGACCTTTACCACGGCGATGGTCTTGAGTGAGGAAGGCTGCTCTACCCCCAAGTTGACCAAGCTGCGGGGGGATCTCACCTTCACGCAGTCGCGTCTGGCCAAGCTCTCTGAGGATTTGGAAAAAATTCAGAAGGACACCGCTGACCAGCACAAGCGGGCAGATGGCGCCGAGGAGAAGGTGGGGACTGTCGAGGAGAAGCTGGGGGCGGCGGAGGCCGAGGTGCAGGTGCTGAAGGTTCCCGTGGAGGTTCTAGATAGTGCCCTCCGTCCGACCGAGGACGAGACCTAGGAAGACAGGCGGATGATTACTCGTGCGGATTTGCTTGCCCGGATTCAGGTATTGGAGAATGATTGTCTGGAAGCCGTCGAGGTCGGGTTCAAGAGTGCTGTCGCGCAGCTCCAAGTCATCAACTCTGGTGTCGCTTTGGTTATGGACGGGGTCGGGCCCTACCACGAGATCGTCGACGGGAAGGTGATCGATCCGGAGCTTGTCGGCCCCGACGTTGTTAATATGGATACTGAGAAGGAGGGCGAGGATGTGTAGACTTTCCCCGGGCCTACGTGCCCGTAGTTTCTGGGCCTGCGTGTTGATGCTTTTGTAATTTTCTTTTAGGTGTTTTGTTTTGACGGGCCTGCGTGCCCTTGATGGTGTAACATAACTACTGGGCTGGTGCCTTTTTATAATTCTTGAAATTTTCTAAGTGTGCGCTCGGTTTTGTTTCTGCATGTTTGTTTC